TCGAGGTCTGCGGGAATCGGGGTGCGTCTACGGCCAGGCTAGTCTCGAAGCAGTGCCCAGGGGATTCCCAGGCTTGTCGCCCAGTCCCAACCGTCTCATCGGCTGTGGGTGTCGGGGTGGTGGGGACGACTTGGGGGGCGGTCTGGGACTGGAGGACGCCGTTGTCTTTTGTAGGCCCTGCGGGGCCTACGGGAGGCGACGGGCCCTGCTCCTTTCAGGGGCCTGCGTCCCCCTGGCCAGGAAGGGCCGAGACGCGGCCAGGCTGTCGCGCAGGGCCCTGGACAGGCTCCGAGGAGGCCGGGAACCCCAGTCGGGCGTGTTCTGGGGTCTCCCTTTTCCCGTGCTCAAGGCCGCGCGTTGTTTTTACTCTAGGTGTCGAGGCCCGCGCCAGGCCTCTCTTTCTTTCTTCCTTCTTGGCGTGCCCTGGGTTGTAGCCTGAATTTTGATCCCTCGTCCGGGACAGGGTCGGATTGCGGAACAGTCTGCTGTCCATTTTAGAATCCAGAAGAATCATATGATGATGCTGATGATGATTGTGATGATGATGACGATGATGATGATGATGGTGCTGATGATGATGGTGATAATGCTGCTGATGACGATGGTGCTAGTGATGATGAGGTAGAGGCGGAGGAGGAGCAGGAGGAGGAGGAGGAGGAGGAAGAGGAGGAGGAGGAGGAGGAGGGGAGGAGGAGAGGAGGAGGAAGAGGAGGACGACGGAGAGGAAGAGAAGGATGAGAGATGAGGATGAGGATGAGGAGGATGCTGATGCTGATGATGATGATGATGATGATTGATGATGATGATGGAGGAGGAGGAGGAGGAGGAGGAGGAGGAGGAGGAGGAGGAGGGGGAGGAAGAGGGGGAGGAGGAGGAGGAGGAGGAGGAGGAGGAGGAGGAGGAGAAGAAACACGTGGAGACCCCGCCGACTGCCTCCAGACTCGGCCCCCGCCCGCTCCGTCCCGCGGTCGGCCCCTCTTCGGGGAGGCACGCGCGCTGCCGCCACCCTCCTGGGGGCGGGCTCCGACCGCGGTGCGGCGCCGACGCCGACGACGCCGTCGACGTCGACGACGACCGAGCCAAATCGACGACGGTGCCGACGACGCCGGATCGACTAGGACGACGACGCTGCCGAAGACGTTGGGCCGGCGATGGCGACGACGGCGCCAACGACAGCGACGACGGCCCCCTCTGCTCCGAGCCGGCCTCGCGAGCGCCTGCCAGACGGCGGGACGGCGAGTCTTCCCCACCCACCCTCCAGCAGGATGATGGATTGGAGGGGGAGGAGGAACATATTACGCTCGAGGAGCAGGAGGTGCAGGAGGATAAGGAGGAGGATGATGAAAGCGATGGGGGAGGGGGATGAAGGTGGAGTAGGCAAGGAGGGAGGATGGGCCGAGGGAGGGGGATGCGAAGGCCGAGGGGGATGATGATGATGATGATGATGATGATGATGATGATGATGATGATGATGATGATGATGATGATGATGATGATGATGATGATGATGATGATGATGACGACGACGATGACGACGACGAGGATAATGATGATGATGATGATGATGATGATGATGATGATGATGATGATGATGATGATGATGATGATGATGATGATGATGATGATGACACTGTGAAAACTCTCTGCCCTCCATCCGTGAAGCTCATGTAATTCTTGACGATTCGCGTATCCCCACAAGCCTACCAGTCAGCCCCCCGCCGCCGCTGCCGCAGTTGCTGCCTCTGAGGGCTGGCCTGGCCGGCTCGCGCTGCGCCTTGCAGCTAATTAGGCTTGCCCGTTGGCTCGGACACCCTGCTCGCCGCCTACGCTTTCGGTTGCGGCTGCGACCAAACAGTATCCCCACAAGCCCATCCAGAAACGATGCCCAGGCGAGTTGCCTCTCAGAGTATCCTCGGATGTGTCTCGGAAGTTTGTTGGAGGCTCTTGGAGCGTCTTGGGGGCATCTTGGCGGGCCCAGGGCCGTCTTTGAGCGTTTTTGGTGCCGCGGGGAGCCTCATGAGGCTTCTTTGGGGTCTCTTGGGGGCCACTTGGAAGCGTCTTGGGCGCCTCTTGGGGCCGTCCGGGCGCGTCTTGGGGCCTTGATGAGGCGCTCTTGGGAGCCTTGGGGGCGCTCTTGGGTCCATCTTGGAGGAGATCGATCAAAGAAGAGGGAGCTTCAAGTAGCGTCGTCTCCGGAGTGCCTAAAATTGGCTTTTGGGCCCCTCTTGGAGCGCTCTTGGGGCGCTCTTGGGCGCTCTTGGGGCCGTTTTGGGGCTCCTGGGCCTCTCTGGGGGCCATCTTGGAGCCATCTTGAGGCCCCGGAAGGCCATCGAAAGCAAACAGGCGAGAAGGCCAGACTCATTGGTTTTCGCCACGTTTTTGAAGGATTTTGGCATCGTGGCGGCATCCTGGGGAGGCTCCGTGGCCATCTCGAGCCGTCTTGGAGCCGTCTTGGAGCATCTTGAGAGAGCCATCTGGAGCTAGCTTGGGCTATCGTGAGCCATCTTGGAGGTCATCTTGGGCTCTCTGAGGCCCTTCGGAGGCCGCTCGGAGGCCTCTCGGGGGCCTCTCGGGTGCTTTTTGAAGGCCTCTTGGGGCTTCTTGGCGCGCTCTTTGGGCCCTCTTGGGAGCCTGGTGGGAGCCCTGGAGGGCCTTTTGGGGCCATCTTTGAGGTGGTCGGTCAAAAGAGGGGGGTATTTGATTTGCGTTTCCCCCTCGGGGGCCACGATCCTCGTGAGGGGTGGCAAACAATGGCCCTCCGAATGGCCGAAAAAGGAGCCTCTGACACCACGCGATTCCTCCCCAAAAAACCTCAGGGAGGGGAGGGGGAGGGTTCCCCTCCCCGAAGGAAGGAGGGGTTGTGGAAGAGGAAAGGGACCCTCGTTAGACCATCTGTCGCTCAAAGGGCTGGTGGGATTCTTGCGGCTGCTGCTGCTGCTGCTCTCTGGGAGCTTTGGGGGCCCTGGAACCTTCTTGGTAACCCTGGAAGGCTTCTTGGGACCATCTTGGAGGCCATCGATCAAAGGATGGGGGGGTCCCCGACTCAGACCCCCCCTCAGGAGCCCGCAAACCGCTTCTTAGGGCTCTCTTGGACCGCTCTTGGGCGCTTTTGGGGCCGTCTTGGGGCTCTCTTGGTGCCCTCTTGGAGCTCTCTTGGAGCCCTCTTGGGCCCTCTTGGGAACCCTGGAGGCCCTCGTGGGGCCATCTAGGAGGCTATCGATCAAACGAGGGAGTTCCTTTATCTCAGTCCACCCCTCGGGGGCCACGATTCTCGTGAGGGGTGGCAAACAATGGCCCTCCCAATGGCCGAAAAAGGAGCCTCCAACCCCTCGCAGAACCCCCCGTCCAGGTCCAGGGGAGGGGGTAGGGGGAGGGGTAATGCCTCCCCGAAGGGGAGAAGGATTTGTGGAAGAGGGGAGAGGAATCTCGTTAGACCACCTGTCGCCCAGAGGGCTGGTGGCATTTTTCAGACGGATGCGCGCGGCGTTAAGGCGAGAGCCACATTTTGAAAGCGGCCCGCCTTCCATCTGTGAAGCTGTTTCAAGATCATTAATGATGAGGAAGTCTCAGGCGACACGGCCGGCCCGCCCTTTCGACCTGCCTCGGTGTGCGACAGGGAGGAACTTCGTATACGGAAAGGAATGGAGGAGCAGGAAGAGGAAGTGGACGAGGCGTGACGAGGAGTGTGAAGAGCGGAGGGGTCGTCTCCTGTTCGGACAGGGGGAGTGTGCACAGAGGTCTCTTGATAGGATGCCAGTCTAGCTCGGGTCTCCTGGGATAGCTGGACCCTGCGCGTGGTCGACGCGGCAGGAGTGTTGTTGGGCTCGGCCATGGGGCCACTCTCTCACTCCCTCCAGAAGGTGGCAGCTTCATAATTTTATACCTTTTCAGTGGTCTTCAGGCTCTCTTGTTTTGAATGCGCCGGAGTTGCGGAGAAGTGTCAGGCCAGCTTCGATGTACGGCGGCGAGGTATTGACCAATTCAGAGTGGCAGAAGGTATAGGGCTGGACATGCCAGTTACAAAGGTCAACGGCCACCTTTTCTGGCCCGATCCCTTGCATCGCGGGTTTGTGTCTTAGGCTTGGCGCGGTAGTAAGCACGCTGCGCCAGGCCCGAAACAGACGGCGGATTCACAGATGCGTTCGCGTACCTATTTTCTTTACCAGCACAGGATGCAAGCCGAACAGCTGAGGTGCTTGGGCAGTCGTGCAGGCATCAATTCGACTGCAGAAGTGTCCACCGATTTTGAAACATGTGCAGAAGGTGAAGACACAACGTCCTAAAACGTCCTGGTCCTGCTTGGCAGGCCTGTCCCCCCCTCCCCCCTCATGGTCACCACGATGGGCTTCCAGGCAAGGGTTCTGCTTGTTTTCAACATCATGGCCAAGGTTACTATGGTGTTGTGTCTGAGCTTGGACCTTGGATCTCAAAGGGTCGCTCGCCTGGCCCGGGAGTGGCTTCCCCTTGGGGCTGGGAGCTCTGACGCGCTTCCGAAGATCTTCGGGTGTGGTCGGTGCGCCGCGCTGCTGCCCTCGACGCCCTGTTCCAGGGCTCCTCCGGGCAAGGGACGCAGGCGCGCCATGATTGCTAATAGAGTGCACGATCCGAGCAGCAAGCAGAACTTTTCTGCTGTTGTTGATCCATGGTGGGAGGCAGGACCTCGAAGTTGGCAGGCCCGCCGTGGGGAGACTCTCGGCCTGAAGTTGCCGCGCCCGCGCTCCAGCTGCGCGGAGCAAGGAAATCCCACCGCGGGGCGGTTTGCTTTTTCTGTCCGACTGCGTGTCCCAGCACAGGGCGGAGGCGCGAGAGAACTGATAGGAAGGAGGATGGGATGGACGGATGACGTGGGTGAGCGTGAGGGAGGACTGGAGGAGAAGGAGGAGGGGAGGAGGACAGTAGGAGGGAGGAGTAGACGCAGAACCCCCTATGCGGAGGCCCTCCCTGCCCCGCTGGGGGGTCCCCCACCTCGAAGTTCCCCTGGGCTGCGCTCGGCCCTGCAGGCGCCTTCTCGAGGTACAACGTGGTCCGCGCGACGGTCTGCCGGGACGCCTCGGGGCAGCCGAAGGCCCTGGCCCATCGGCGCCCTCCCCTGTTGTCGTCTCCCCACCCCTCCCGTTCCGCCTCCCCTCCAGTTCCCGCTTCCCGCTATTTCCTCACAGCCTCGCGCCGAGAAACAGAAGCAGGGCGGAAGGTTTCGGCATCTTTCAGCCCTCGAAAGGCCTGGGATGAATAGCCGGCCCCTGGGAAGAGGGCCATACCTCTGTGGAGCCACGCTGTGAAAAAATGACGGCGTCGGGTGTCTTGGGTCCACTCTCCCTCCCTCTTTCCATCCTTCCCCTCAGCTGACAGTCTTGGCGCACCTGCCTCTGTTCTGGCCGACAGAGCTGGCCGGGCATCTGCTGTACGACAGGGGCGCGCTGTCAGAAAGAGAGACAGGGAGTAATTGAGAGGGGTGAGAGGGAAGGGAGGATGACAAGGACAGGACGGCATGGGAGGGGGAGAGGAGCGGGGATGGGACGGGAGGGAGGGGCCCAAGATGTTCGACGTCGTGGTTTTCTCACGACCTGGACCCCAGAATCTCTGGACCCCTTCCCCGGGGTCGCCTGCCTTTCATCCCGAGCCGGTCTTTCGACGGCCCTGGGGCCCCGGCAGGGATCCGAGAGGCTGACAACGACATTTTTTCCCCCTCTGTTCTTTTCATGCTCCGAGGAGCCGTGCGGCGCACGGGCGATGCTTCTCTTTCGCCAGGGCTTCGGCGTCGTCGAGTTCGGCTCGCCCGCGGACGCGGAGGCCGCGATGGCGATGCAGCCGGTCCTGGGGGGAGGGACCTGCCCGCCTGACCGGCCTGGGGACACGGGGCAGTGAGACGAGGCGTGTGTGTGTGTGTGTGTGGTCCACCAGGAGGAAGGTGATGATGATGGTGTTGGTGATGATGCAGATCGTTGTGTTGATGATGCTGCTGATCATGCTGCTGCTGATGATAATGATTACGACGATGATGATAATGATGATGATTGTGGTGATGATGATGGCGACGATGAAGATGATGATAATGATGATGATGACGATGATGATGACGACGATGGCGATGACGATGATGATGATTATGATGATGATCATAGTGATGATGTTGATGATGATGATGCTCCTGATGATGTTGATGACGGTAGTCGTGATGATGCTAATCATGATTTAGTAGTAGTAGCAGTAGTAGTAGTAGTAGTAGTAGTAGTAGTAGTCGTAGTAGTGGTGGTAGTAGTAGTAGTAGTAGTAGTAGTCGTAGTCGTAGTAGTAGTAGTAGTAGTAGTAGTAGTAGTAGTAGTCGTAGTAGTAGTAGTAGTAGTATTAGTAAAAGTAGTAGCAGTAGTAAGCGTAGCAGTAGTAGTCGTAGTAGTAGTAGTAGTAGTAGTAGTAGTAGTAGTAGTAGTAGTAGTAGTAGTAGTAGTCGTAGTCGTAGTAGTAGTAGTAGTAGTAGTAGTAGTAGTAGTAGTAGTAGTAGTTAGTAGTTAGTAGTTAGTAGTTAGTAGTAGTAGTAGTAGTAGTAGTAGTAGTAGTAGTAGTAGTAGTAGTAGTAGTAGTAGTAGTAGTAGTAGTAGTAGTAGTAGTAGTAGTAAGTAGTAAGTAGTAAGTCGTAGTAGTAGTAGTAGTAGTAGTAGTAGTAGT